TTTGTTACCAAATCAAAGTAGCAAATCTTGGTATCTATATAAAATTGGAAGTTGATGAAGAAAATTACTTTCTTTAATTATTTGTCACCTACAATACATGCTTATATAGCTTGCATCATTGTCAATTTTTCATTAGTATAGGCAACATCCATTTGAAAGAAAAACTATTTTCTATTTCATTTAATAGTGTAAATGTTGAAAATGTCAACAATTGGTTGTGGTTTTTAAATAAGTTGAAGACAAAAATTCTTGCACCTCATCTACTAAATTAAAAACTATTAAAGTTCATATTTATATCTAACTGACAAAAAGGTCTCATTAATGTTGTCAACCATGTATATATATATATATATATATATATATAAAGATATTTTATATTTGCCATTTAGTTGAGTATTTATAATAGTAATTCAAAAATCTAATGCTTCTACTATATCTTTAGGTAATAGTACATGTATTAACTATTTCAGATTTCAACATTGAACTTTTAAAAGTCTGGGTTGTATCCAAAGAAGCTAGAGAGTATTTGATGAGCATTGTATCATAATATTAGGCATTGTCACAGTTTGAAAAAAATTGATTTGGCCATATAACTTCAAATATTGTGGAATCTCTAAACTTGTAGATCTTAAAAGCACATGAAACGATTCTAATTCCAATACTAGAAACAATTTGGAAAAAATTCATGGTAAGATACAATGAGCAATGTATCATTGCCAATATAATTATTAGACTATTATTAATTAATACAAAGCAAGAGATTAAATGATCATAGATATTTGCATGTAGCAATTACATCATTCCTTCATTTTATATTATCTTTGAATGGATATCAAAGTAATCATGTGATATCTTAGATTTACAAAATTATACATATACTTGCAGTTCATAGCAGCGATCTAAAATCTCATGTATGCATGCAATTAGTGCTCTACTAATCATGTCACAATCAATTATCAATTATACTGCTTATTTTTATATTATTCCAGCCCAGCAAGAAATTTATGCAATAGTCATTATTCCAATACCATCCATTGAATATTGGATAGAACCAAACAACAATAGAATTGATATTACACCAATCCTACTATTCTCCACACAATATTGACTTGATTGCCTAAAGAAGCATTGCATCCATATAGAGAATATAGAAATAATCAAAAGAGTGTTTAGATGTAGTTAATGTTAGAATACAAGACATAATTGCCCTTTAATTTATTCCATTGCTTAATTGTTTGATGTTTATACAATGAAAGTACTTAGACAAATTGTCACCAGGTTGTCAATATAGAGTCCCAAAGATATTAAATGCATACTTGAAGAATATAAAATTATCTTTTTTTATAAAGTATATTCAAGCCTTGTACTTTAAAATAAAGATAAAATTTATTTTAGCATAAAAATTTAGATTTTTGAAAATAAAAGTCTTTTTCTTTTTTAAAAAAAAGAACTATAATAACATCTTTTTTATTCTATATAATCATTAATGTAATCTTATCAAAATTGAATTATTTTTTTATGTTGTCTTAAGAAATTAATCTGATTTAAAAAATAAATAAATAAATAAATAAATAAAACTACATATAGGATATTGTTAATTTAACCACAACTTCCTATCCATCATCATTTTTCTTAAGTTTTTTTTATTTTTTTATTATGATCAAAAGATATGTTAATATGTCCAATATATATTGAACCATGATAGAATGGATGTGGCAAAAATTGCTAAAAAAAAAAAAAAAAATTGACTAAAATTATTATGGTATAGTTGCAAAAACTTTAGTGGCATTGCCAATATTCTATAAATATATCTTTGTCTAAAAAGGTATAACAAAAAAATCATATTTAACTAATAAAAAATCTTAAATTTTCTTTAAATTATTTTAAAAAATAAGAAATCACATATTGAAAAGATTAATTAATTTTTAAAATTAAATAAAATTTGGTCTTATTTTTTCTAAATTTATATATAAATTTTAAAGACATTTGTGTCAAAAGAAAAAATTTAGAGGTGATAGTCTATTTTATTTGTATAAGAAAATAAAACAGATAAATACATTCTTATTCTATATATATATATATATATATATATATTTGTGGTTGAAATTCTAGCTGTTTAGATAAACTGTGTACAATCCATATAATTTAGTTATAGTGTAACATTACATTTAAAACTATTACTTTTTCTATCAAAATAGCTTATGTAAAAACACTTATTTTACATTTTTTTACAACTTGTTGGAATCCATCAAAAAATCGAATTCAATTGAGAGTTTCAATTCTTCTTAGAAATTGAGAAAATCTTACTGATAAAGGAGATTTTTCTTTATGAAAGAGTTTTTTTTTAAATCGTAAAAAATAAGTACATGCCAATAGATTTGAGGCAGAATATCCAATGTACTCATAGACAATGTTGACTGTCAAAAAATTTATAAAGCCAAAAAAAAAAAGCTTTGAACCAAGATTTGCATTAAATTTTACTTTACTTTATTCTATTATATTGAAAAGAATCTAAAGTCTTTAATGAGAATAACATATTATCAAAATATTAAGATGTAATTGATATATATATATATATATATATATAAAGAAATTTATATAATAAATAAACATACTGCATAAATGCAAGTCAATGTTACAACTACTATTAGAATCAGTTGGAAATATTATAAATGTAAATCAACTAGATTCTGAAAACAATATTTGTTTTTAAAGTAAATAGAACAAGGAGGATTTAGAAACAAAAAATTATTATTATATAATATTTTATTTTAATTCTTAAAGAATATGAAATGATTAAAAGTTGATTCTTTAATTAAATTAGTGTACATACACTTTAGGTAAAAGTATACATTAAAATCATTTTATCTGGGTGGATAAAAAAAAAACTGAATATGGATATTAAGACTTAGTAGAGAGAAACAAACTTAATAGATTTCTTCAGGGTATACTTGTTATGGAAGAATGAAGTGATGGAATAAATGCATAAAATTTACATTATATAATCTGGTAGATATTAAGGTGTAGGAATTATAAACTCATATTTTTAAAGGAGGAAAATAAAATTCCAGTTAGGCAAGATTCATGATTTTTTAGAGTAAATTAATTTATTAATAATGTGAGAATAACATATTAGATTACAACCAAATCAATCTAATAAGGAATTATAGTTTTTGAATTTTAAATAGAAATCAACTAAGTAGTAGCTTAAACCAAAAGCTTATAAAATCGCATATTTTAAGTAAAATTAAAAGTGAAAATTTTCATATTAAATAAAAAATAAATAAAATATATTTTTAGAAATCAATGTAAATTAAATTTAAAATACATAAATAAATAAGTTAAAGAGTTTAAAATGATGAATTTACTGATTACCACAAAACATTGTTTACTAGGTTCATTTTTATTTTTATTTGTTTGTTTTTTTAGTTCTCATAACACAATTTCATGAGAGCCTTGCTACAAACTTTTAAGTGTGTATTTTTATAGTACTCTGTAAGTTTTTAGAGCATCTAGTGAAATATCTTTAGATTATAAAATTACAGATGTGAAGATTTAAAGCACAAGTTTAGAATATATTTTCATTTTTTTTCTTACTTTTTTTTTTTTTTTTTTTTTTTTTTTTGGTTGAAATAACTCAGCAGCAAAAATGTGTTACAAACAGACAATTATTTTTACTTTTATATGAATATATGATATACATATCAACATAGATAATATGTCCAATGTTGTTAATGTAACTCTACCAACAATTATTCCAAGGGGCATCAAGTCCTAGTTAATATTAAAATTACAGTGTTTTAAAAAAATTGTTAAAATATTTTATCTGCTAGAAACTTAATTCAATTTATAAATTTTATGAAGTATTTATTATGCCAAAATAAAAATTAGGTTTTTACTTTACTTGTAAATATCAATACAATTACTACTATCATTAAAATTTACATTAAATATTCACAGAAAGACTGTGTTTTTACATCACAATTACTAATACAAGTACCGAACTAACAACCAAATCATAGCAAACCCCTAATTGCGAGGCACACAGCTCACAAAATAAGGCAAACTCAGTATCACAGTACCATCGGATTCACAAGCAAACTTCAGAAGAAGGAAATGCAATCTGAACACTTAGTTATGAAGAAACGAATACTGGCAAAACAAAACGAACTCTTACATCACGCAATTCAGAGGCTGTCAGTAGTCTCTGCAAAACTACATCTAGGAGGGGATAAGCTGCAGGCTGATGTGGGTCTTGATACTAACTTATATGCAGTAAAGCAGGATTTCTGTTGTGGCTTTAATCGTTGCATGTGAGTTGTGTTCATGTGAAGCGTGGAAGCCATGAAGGCACAACTTCCAATATAGACGAACATGGTGGAGGGGGGACTAGAATGCATGGTTCTCGTGAGTGCTTTTTTGTTGATGTTCGGGGAAGTCGAAGGACTCACAGGTAGTGGTGGTGGTAGGTCGGAGGCGGTGCTGGCCCTGGCTATCGACGACGTTTGGGGTGTGTCGAAGGGGGGAACACTAGCTTCGTCACTGTTGCACCTTTGCCATGTTGGTCACGCTAGAGTCCTAGTGTTGAGAAGCTATTCGCGGGGTGGTTTGCCATATCTACTACGCAAGATGCCGCTCATCATTCTGGATGCGATACCTGAGAGTACACTCGCTGGCACTGTGGCCACTGTTATTCCACATCGCTGATCTTCTCACGCTGATGTCTACAGTGGCAGCCTCGACTGAATTCGGAGATTCCATTTCTCTTCTCAAGTACCCAGCTGGAAAGAAGGCGATATGATATTCGGTCCCTGCGCAAGCATGATAGCGTGTCCCCTTAACGTTGCCAACCATGAGAATGGAAGATAAATCCGTGAGAAAGGACATTGACTTCATGGATGCTTTTTCGTGCAAAGCCTATTTCATGAACAATGAATATTCGAGAATTCTGCTGGAAGTCTAAGTTTAGACATCTGCGTCATCTTTAGGCCAGAGAATTCGATGCTACATGGTACCAGAAGCAAGTAGAAAATCGCCCTCGGAACAGAACCAATAATATGTGGTTCGATTATGTCCATTTCTGTCGTTTGTGTCCAGAGCGAGGAATCTTTCTATGCTTCTCGCGCAAATTCTTGCTGAACTGCAAGTATTCTGGGATCACCAAGCTTGCAGATGCTTATCGCGGTGGTGCGGGAAGTTAGATGGGACTAAACTAGCTGCAGAAGGCGACACGTGGAGTCTAATTCGACAGGAGGCAATGATTTTTCGAGGCCGAATCCGAGAAGCGGATGTTCTTGAGCAGTTCGGAAACTCTAATGTGCACATGGGGATCACGAAGAGGCGAATCCTCCACTCCAGAGGATGCACCAGTAACCATACATCGAAGCCGAAGTTAGGATTTGCATGCACGGGATTTCGTAAACTTCGATTCTCTTCAGCTTCCGGATCTGTATGATCGATAGCAATCGACGACCATATTTGGCTGTCCGTCCGTGGACCCTGGTTGACTTTCTTATTTGACAGTAAATGGTCTAAAAATACGTAGTTCTAGATACACCACAATCAAATCAGTGCTAAAAATGTTCCTTTTCGTCTTGAAAAAGCAATCTTGGCCTTAGCAAACACGAGATATGGGCTATGTGCAGATTATTTCTGGGGCAACGGGATTCTCTGCATTCGCCATCCTGTGCAGAGCACAGAGCAGTGCGTGAGTCTCATCGTCCTCTTTCTTCAACCTGAACCCCCTTTCGACCCTCTGCGCATGGTCATCGAGTTGAAGTCGTAGTAGAGCTAAAAGTCAATCTTTACTGGACCTCGTTGTGTGCATGCTACGTGCGTCAAACGTAGCAACTGCAATCGTCATCTAACCTTCGCTAGAAACGTGGTGAGTATTTTCAGCTCCAATCAAGAGTCCTTGCAACTTACGGATGCAGATTTATATTCGATTCGAACACATATGACATCGTGCATTGCAGCCGTTGGCATCAGCTAGAACGATGATGGGAGCTTCATCGCACGTCTTACTGGTCAAGGTACAAGTTCAAGCAACATCTCACACGTATAGAGTGCGTTGTGCCACTCCTAAGGTGTTTCACTTTGTCTACTACATAGTCACCTGCGATCTGGTCATTCTTGAACTAGTGTTTTAGAAGGAGCGAAAGCACCGACGCCTAGCTTTTGTTCTTTCTGCTTGAGCGTTTTATATTCAGGGTGTCCAGGCACAGTGTGATAATTCTCACCTTCGTATTAGTCTAAACTTGCACCCGAGTAAGCCTTAAATCTTTATGAGAAACATACGACTGCAGCAGGTCTGGAACTTACATTGAGCATCAGTTGTATTTATAACTTCCTTGCTTGTCAACCTGGGTGGACAAACGTCCATCAAGTAGTGGCTGTCGTGGGTTCAACTCTCTGAGAACTAGTAATTACCACTTTGTAGACACGCCAAGCAGGTATGCATATGCTTGACTTGCACCATAGCATAGATATATATATATATATATATATATATAATCAAAACCATTAGAGTTCGCAATAGCCACAACTATCTGGTCAACTTGCTCCATGAAGACAGAACACCTTGAGATTCAGTGCCTAAAGCACTACTTTAGACTCGGTAATTCATTAAGGAGAGATGCAGCCTGAGCTTGTTTATAGGACTTATCTGATGCTGGACAGCTCGTTGTTTCACTTATCCTGGTTAGGTTTGATACTAGCGGCTGCATCCTCTCGTGTGGACCTTAATCCTTAGATCGCTTCCCCGATCAAGCGCTTCATCTCTGGAAGAACCTTTTAGTGGGGGCTGTTGGCACCAGTACTCTGAGCAGATTTCCAATTTGTTTCTGTGTAGCTTTCCCCGTCCACACTGCGATGAGTAGTTGATACAGTAGGGAAACGTCAGTGGTAGCCATCCGCAAGCGCCCGTTTCACCAGTGATGTTGGTTGTTGAGGTGATAGGTCTACTAGATCTGGCAGATTAGGTTGTTGATCTGGTTTCCTGATCTATCGAAATACGGATTTAACACAAGCTCATCTCACGAAGGGCCAAAATTTAACAAAATTCCGTGGGGCGAATTGTTAAATTTTTTCTTGAGTTGAACTGCAGAAATTAGTCTATGAACTTACAAGGGCCCCTAAAACTGATACAACGCAGAAATATTCTGTGGGACTTAGGGAAGCTGAACTTACTACATGGGACGAACATCATATCACATAGAGAAAGCTCATCGTATTGAATTCTAAGTGTTTCCTGACTAGTGGACTGAGGTCTCAAGCAGTGTAAAGTTCTAAGAGACATGATTAGAGTTGTCGGTTGATTAAATATAGAATCCAAACTGACTGAAATAGAATATCTCTTAATACAAATTGGATGTTCACACACAATTACAGAGATTTTAGCTTATAAAGTTTTGGAGGAAATGTTCGATTTGTGGAATAGACGTTGGAATCCAGGTTTTTTTTATTAATGCTCACAAAGACATCTAATCTGTCGCAGAATCAAAGGCGAACTTTCCATGTGCGTAGGAGCATCATCTGGAGATTTGAAGTCAGACGCTGGGCGCTTAGATTTGACTGGCCTGATGTGAGTTGCATGCGCAAGTCCAAAATATGAGATAGACGTGAAATTAGAAATTCAAAAGCGAATTTTAATTGCTTATGAGGAGATCTCATCCCAGGTTTTGAACTCTTATCTCAGAACATACAATTTCCAATCGCCCTGTGACAGACTTCATAGGTGATCGCATGCAACTGAACCTTTCCATCATAATCGTCACTGATTCATCCTGAACTACTAGCCAGATTAGATTTCCAGGCTCTGATTAATTACTCGGCGCCTCTCTTTCTCTTCCTCCCCCTCTCAATGTACTGCTTAGGTCTTCCAAGGCAAGCAACGATCTGCATCAACTGCTTGAAATTTGTCGGAGCAACTTGTTACAGCTTTTTGTCATGCCCAAGTTTCGAGGTATTAATGCTCAAGCCCTGCTAACATCCGCATGCACAGTTTAGGTTGAACACTGCGAAGAGCTCCTCAGTATGTATTACGTGGACGCTCAAGAAGTATGTTCAAGAGTTGTTGTTCGAAGGTTGTGAACCTTTGTTTCGATGGACTGGTCCCGCTGCAGTTGCGACGTTAGTATCATCTTGGTCAGAGGGTTTTCAGGCACGGTTGTGCCAAGAACACAATTCAGCATACATCGATAAACCCCACACTGAAAGTGTAGACCTTATGCTTTATAGAATTGGAGGCAACAAACAAGGTGATGTTCACACAGTCCATGAACTTCTAGCTTTTGAGTCATAAGGAGAGTCACCACAATCTCTCTCCCGACTAAAGAAAATGTAGGAAAGTACTACTTCAATAAGGTTTCCAATAGCTATGCATCCTAATACACTGCTCGGACTATTTACACGCCATGGACCATGCTATGATGGCTTTGCAGCTGCAGGAGAATTTCCGTGCTCAAATTCTGGCTACATTTTCTCAGCACATGAGACAGAATATTTCTGGGGATGAGCTCTTTCCTGATAGATGTTCAGGTTCGTAAACGAGAAGGCTATTTTTCCTAAAAATTAAGTTCCTATTGCCTGCTGCACTGAGTGTGAGCTGCACTGAGTGTGAGCCTGATGGACGCATTCGTTACTGTGCTGTGCGGACGTAAAATTTCGCGAAGTCTCAGAAAGGTAGCGGCGGCAAGGAAGCAGCAAATTCTATCATGACTCGTCCTCCAGACCACGGCAGAATAATCTCATTTGCGACGACTTCGTACAATGGGCGCTCTGGGATAACGCGCGGGGGTCGCAGTGGAGCGTTATCAGGGCGGTGGTTTACTTCCTGTGCGGGAGGGTCAATCGCTCCCGGGGCGCCGTTGTTTGAATGAACCAAACGTTCTCCGTGTGGCATTTCCTGCTCCCTGAAATCAACTCGGCCGTTTGGCAGGTGGTTATTCAAGTGATCCAGCTCAGGGGATGGAGGCTGTCGGTGCTGGCGTTGACGTTGGCTTTGGCGCTCCAGCTCGTGTTCATCGCCGATCTCCTCTCCAACGACTCTTCCTCCCAGCTCCTCGATCGGGGCCCCAAACGCCGCCATCTTGTGAGAGAGTTGTGATCGACGCTCCCGCCACAAACGCTAATGTGAGATGGGATTCCTGCAAGTGCTTCTGCAATTGAGACGAACTACCATGGAACTCACCCTAACCCCTGATTAGTGAGGAACTACACTCGGCTGTGCACCAATATCTTGCTGGTTAGTCGGCAAAGAAAAATTCAATACTAACACGATAGCCGTCTTCCACCTCTGTACAACACACTTACAATCGGCCCGTCATGCTATCGTCAGGGAACCTCCATTGAATGTTCCCTAGCAAAAACACAGCATAGTCACCTTCACGACGAGGTACCTATTTTGGGTCGGCCCTACCCCCAGCCATACACCCCCCCCCCCTTCCGCATTCAGGGTTTCCTTGCTGTCGTAATGTTTTTAGTTTTTTAGATTGTATACTTGTATTTTAAAACTACTCCTACTCCAGAAGTGAAAATTTTCATTGTTGTTTCTGAGAATAATAATTTAAAAGCTATAATAGTACCGCCAGGAAAAGAGAGAACCAGTAACGAAAGATAAGTGTTCTGCTGCAGAATTTCAGAATGGAAATCGCATTTTAGAAGAAGATGGTAGTGGTTGCAGGGTTGAATGTTTCCTAGCCATTCTGATTACCGGCAGCTCTAAGGAGGACATACACTTGACGAGTGGCATCATCGATTTTCATTAATTAATTATAGTTAATATTATTTTTTGTTCCTGTTTCCGGAGACAGAACCTCTAGAATAGGCCACAAAAGGTTGCAGTCAACTGATAAGAGACTGAATGACATCAGTCACGGCGGGGGAGGGATCTGCACGACATTCAAGACAACCCCATCTTCAGAGTCATAACGGAATAAGAGGCCTCACCGACGGGGCGTTGCAAGCACAAGAACTAACCGATAAAGGAGGGAAAGTCGCGGTCAGATAATTCGTGCTTCGTCAGCCAGGCATGCACCCACCCTGAGGCTACGTCGCAATTCGAGTTTTTTGCATCTGCAAGTTGATAACCCAGCAGGGAGAGTAGCGGCACATCGTGGCGCTGGAGCATTCAACGCAGCAGACAAGACCGAGACCTACATCGTTGCGATTGTATCACGCACCGCGACTTCGTCTCTTCCGCGGCGCTTCTTCGGTCGACCCGATCCATCTCCGACGAGCTCGGACTAAACATCTAGACTCCTGATCGCACTTTGCACGCACATCTAGAGCAATCAGTGCATCACCTCGCCGCACGATCTAGCGCGGTTGCGACTGCAAGTGCGATAAAGGAATCTTTTTTGCGATAGATCTCAGTGTGGTGGGATCTAGAGTGCCATGCAAAGTCTGCACGTCTGGAATTCTTTATCTGGGCGCAGATAGATGAGTAACACGATCCTGTAATCACGATGTGGAGCCAGTGGGGCCATGAACCGATCAACGCACGCCGAATGCATCGATCTGATATCCGACCTCCGCAACGAGTGCTCCCGGTCTTCATTGGCTTACTATCCTTCATATCAGTGCACAATTGTGCATTATTTTCCTGCTCTTTGTCTTGAGGTTGTGTCAACACTGTGATTTTGTCTGCCTTCTTATGTATGTATTTATTTATTTATATTGTTGTGTTTCCATGGGGTATCGGTTGCACTTTCGTGTTTCTGCTTTGACTCTCGTGGTTCTTGTGTACTTAACCTACCAGGGACTCAGTTTTGTTGCTTTGAAGATCAGATATGGCCTTTCTTTTGAATATCTTCATTTGTTATTTTTTTTAATTTTTTTGTCTTGAACCTTCTTTTGGTTGTTGACATGGGTTTGTTGTAGTTGATTCTTTAAGTTTTTTTGCATAAAGATATATATATATATATATATATAGTCAAGGGTGCTTGTACCTCGTTTTTATCACCTGTGTGAAACACGTACATATGTAGAAAGATCTGGACAATTTACAAAGCTTTTCAGTAAAATCTTGCTGTGCTTAGTATTTAGAATCGACTAATGAGATCTAGAATTTGATATACTTTGTTTCTCTTCTATTTATATTGCAAGAGAAAATCACTTTCAGTTCATTAAATTGTAAGAACAACATAGTCAAAATTTTATAAAAATAAAATATCTCAATACATTTAAAAAATTTAAATCAAATTATAAAATATTTTTAAAATATATTATGTATATATAAATATACTGTAAATTAACTAACTTTTTTTTTAATTAAATCACTAGACTTTAATACATCATTGTTTATGGAATAAAGATTTTATTATAAACTCTTATTTTTATATCAAAATCTAAAGAATAATATTTAATTTTATATTTATAAAAAATATATATTAGAAACATTTTTATAGATGGTTTTAAAATAAGCATATTTAGAATAAATTTTAAAAGTAGTGTTCTGATTTCTAAAAATTTCCTAAAGACTACTTAGTAGCCAAATGTTCAAGAATACAAATATTTCTTCAATTATTCTAATTGTGTGTCTATATATTTTGACTTTATCTTTCTTGTAATTTTTTTAGTATTCTAGCTACTATATTTACTTTATCTTGATGTCAAATTATACTTTTATAAAGTCATCTAATAGTTTTGTTGGAATTCCTTAATAAAGCCTTTCCTTTTTTTATAGTGGAATAAAATATGGTGAGTGATTCATTTGATTCTCTTCACAAACATGATTTTTTCCGTTAATGTTTTCTATTGTTGTGTCTTGTGAAATATACAATTATTTAAAAAAAAATTGGTCGAAAATACAAGTATTTCAGGAATTCTTTTTTGTAAAAGTAAAGATTAAAATAACTAAAATATTATTTTATGCCTTGTTTGAAAAAATAGAACTCAACACAAAAAAAATTACTCAAAAAATAGATGTATTCACGTCGACAAAATGGATTACAACTTTATGAGGATAGTTCATCATTTTCTAGTACAAAAGTAGCCTTTTGTCTCTCTTTCTAAACAACATATTTTTACATATATGTATGTAAATGTATCTTCCAGTGAACTGTTCTAGTGAACTGGACTTCAAGATGTTCCAGTGTTTTGCCATGTTTCATTCAAAAACGAGGATCAACGTTTGAATTCTGGGGCTCCACATGAGTTGGAATTTATCCCTGGTTTCTGATGATATGACAAGGCTTTATTAAGGAATTCCAACAAAACTAACAGGTTTCGTGAATATGAGCTTGAAAGGTAACTCAGAGCAGTTTCTCACAGCATGAATTAAGAGGAGGACTATTCTTGCGACTTTAAATAAGCAATTAATGATGGAGTTTGGAGTCTTTTTTGTTACGAAATCCAAATCTTGCAAACAGCAGTGACCCAGGGATCTGGGTCGTTTACAAATTCAAACATGAGCTTCAGAGTGCAGTGAGTCCTAACCTTCTCTTGCCAGAGTGGCTACAAGCCATGACAGCCGCATTGAGATGGAATCTCCATTCTTCAACCAACCCCTTTCAAGAAACTTGAGAGTTAAAGGCCGCCCCTGTAACAGCAATGAGTCTAACAATAGAGCCAAGTTTGAGTTGCTGCACCTTCAGCTTGCTCCGAAGGCTCCACTCACGAAGCAGAACCATAAACTGCCAAGTAACTTGAGAGGCTTTCTCCTTGATCATGAGCATTAACGCAGCACCGAGAATCGTTTTGAGGATTTGTGCCTGAAGACCCTGGTAGAAACCTGAAGGTCCTTGATGCTGCCAGATTGCTATGGCTGCTGGGAGAAGCCTGGTAGGCGCCTCTTTCCGTGTCCTAGATCCTTGCACGAGTAGCTCCTGGTCCTCTTCTTGTTCAGCAGCTTGGATTACCGTCTTGACTCTGCAAAGGATCAATTTCGTTATGAATTTCTCTCGTCTAAATACACTCTGTTGTTGAAGCAAGCTCAAGTCACGCAAGCAAGCCATCACCACATCTAAGTCGGTCCGCTCAAGATTTGCAAGAGACAATTTGGAGTGTTTATTTTTATTTTTTTTTTGAAGCGAGGTGTACCTAATTGCAGGGTATGTAAGCACGGTGGCACAAGTTTTTGAAAAGGCTCCCAATGCAAAAGCTCGAAAGGCTGACAAAACCACCGGTGCCTCCTCACCAGGCTGTTTTGAACGGCCGCTTGACCTCAACAAACGTCTTTTTGTTTGTTCAAATACGGTATACTGTAAATGTCAAAGAGAGATTTCTCAACTTCGTTGAATTGTGAACATTAAAATTTGAACATGGCTTACACTTGAGCACTTCTTTCCTAAAATTACGTTTCTGAAAGACTCTTGAAACAGCCATAACTTGATTAACTTGATCAGGTAATTCGATGTTAAACTACTCATAGATGCATTGACACAGCACAACTAACAAGAAACATAAATCTGGTACAAATCAAAGCACCTGAATGGCTGGGTTGCATGTCAGCAACAGTGACACTCCAATGCCCACATAAGCTTCCTTCCAGCTTCGCCCAGTCATCATGGAAAGTAACCCTCTTGACTTTCCAAACGAGCTGGTCTGCATCTGGGATGAAGCCGTGTCCAAGGGCTTCAAGCGTTCAAGTTGTGAAGTCAGTGAGGACGCACAAACTACACTGACATAGTAAAGGGTTCACAAGTTCCCATCCACTCTAATACATGCAACAGGAACAGAACAAAACAGATAAGTAGAGTCCCCAACCTACAGAAAGTGACTTTCTGCACCGCCAACAACAAACGAAAACAAAGAAACATCTCATATTATCTCCATACAAATGACACAAAGGCCACTCACCTGAGTCACTAAGACGGTGCAAGCACCAGCAAACACACCAACAGCAAGATTCGCTCCTGTTCCCATGTGATTCAATTTTGCCCAACGGAGGTAAAGCTGCCTGAAGAAGCTGTAGCCATAAAAGTATAGAAATTGGGAGATGACGGATTGCAAGTTCTTTGTACCCAAACCTTGATATAACGACAGGAGCTGGCGCTTCGCAATGGCCTCCCGCAAAACATCCAGAAGAGAGCTTCACAATTTACGAAACAAGCTTGAATGTCATATTGCACTCGAGACTTGCTCAAAAATGTACTGGAAGTAAAAAGCCGTCAAGGCTTGCTCGCAAATATGCTTAGAAACGCACCAGGGAGCGAGAGAGAGAGAGAGAGAGAGAGAGAGAGCGAGCTGAATACCGATACTTCCGTAACGAATTTGAGCGCAATTCAGCTTGATACTTGGTCTTGCATGTGTCCAATGGATACAGGATCGTGGTTGACACTAAACCTCCCACCGCACCCGAGGTAGCCTCAACAAGGCTCTCAAAGTCGATCCCCATAGCTACTCCTAACCCTAACCCTGCCCAATCCCTCAACTATCGAAGCCTTTCCCACAAAAATCCCTTCCTGCACTCATTCAATCTTCAAACCAAGTGAAGGAAGGCCCTGAAGCATAATTCGCAATTCATTTCCACAAGTCCAAGTGACGCCTGTGAATCCAAGCCACAATAAGCGAGATCATGCATTCGACTCTACAAAGAAACCATCGCCAAACCCATTCCGTTTACCTTGACCTAAGAAAAATGAACAATCAACCCACAATCTTTGTCCAAGAGACGCACAACTATCCAAACAGACACTCCATCGAACACCCCAACAATGACGTGGCAGGTACTTCCTGACATGAACCCTTTTCGATGTAAACAAGAGTCATTCATCGACACTCTCCACACCTATCGAGCACTAACTCAAGGATTTGTGAAGAGTTTTTTTCCTAAACTAAGGAATTGTCAGTTGAAGGCGAAAATGGAGAAGGGGAAAGATGTTTTCCAAACGCCAGAGACGGCAGTGGGCAAGTCAAAGGTTAGGTTAGTCCCAGATGTCTACTTTCTGCCCCGCCGATCCATCCCTAGAACCATCGCCTTGTATACTTTCCTCACTGCGGCGGGCATAGGAGCGGGGATGTTGGTGGAGCAATGGATCAAGCAGCAAGTCGAGAGTACGTGAACTTTTCTCCTTCTTTCTCCCAACTTCTTCGTGTGTTGTTTTTGTTTTCATCATTTTTTTTTTATCTGTGGATATCTGACTACGGCATGTTCCTTGTTGTTAACGTATGCAGATGATACAGCCATCTTGTGGCGCAAGGAGGAGTCCGAAGTTAAGAAAACTGACCCTGCTCCGACATCCTCAAATCCTAAAACCTAGGGCACGTCTCCAGTGGCCTTGTAGGCGCTCTTGTAGAAATAGAAAGCCGATAAGCATTGAAGCTGGGAAGTTGATGATGAGAGTCCAGATTTTGTTCTTCAGAGTTGCTAGCAGGATATGGTGAGAACAAGGGGCTGCTGAGAGATTCGTTGTCATTACTGATCTTAAGCATCACCTTAGTAATTTAGCTACTAAATTTTAGACCACAACGAATGGTTGCTGGCGGCCTTCTAAGCCGAGAACCTGTTGTGTTATCACGACGAAGGACCCTGCCTTTTTAAGTTTCTCCTCCTGCTTATTATATTCCCGGCAGCAGTTTCTCACGCTGGCGATTGATTTCAAGAGAGATAACTCTTAGCAGTCAAGGCTGTTGTTTACCTTGGTCACTAATCCGAATCTTTGCTTTAAAATCATTTGCTTTTCCAAGTGGGCATCGCCGCAAAAGCCTTGATCAACTTTAGTGAATGCGGAGCTAGGGCATAACTCGCTGACGTCGATGTGTTCACCTTTGTCACTATCTTCTGATTTCAAGTCCACATTCTGGCTAAGAAAAAATCTTTAAGCATGGGCGAACCAGCAGATGGCAACATTAGAATACAGGACACGAGGAATTTGATGAGTTCAAATGTCAGCGTGCTCGACATCTTACCGCAATTGTGTCAGGAGACCACAACATGATCTCTTTGCAGAGCAACACCGAGCGAATGCACATTGGCTCACAAATATTCAATTCCATTGATCACACAAAAACCATCAGTTAGAGACTGAGTGTTTGGAGTTTTCACAAACGCCCCTGTCCCTCCACCCGACGCTGCCAACTGGTTTGGCCCCGCCGTCTGCACTGCACCGGCAATCACCTTTAAAAAAAATGACTACAGATGCTTCGTGGGTCGATTGATCTGCCGAAGGATACCTAGCTCATCTTGCAGAAACGAGTGTTGCGAATAGGACTGTCGCCGATGCTCATGAATGCGAGGTGAATTTGCCACTCAGCAGTCGCAAGCACCTTACCAGTATGAACGGTGGAAGTGGCCTTTGCGTGGCCTCGGGAGTGACCAGGGACGATAACCAGGGAGAACTCATTAGAATATTCTCAGTTCATCCAATCAAATGCCATAAAACCTAAAACCCTAGCTTTAGGGTCTAAATGCTTGCAAAGGCTTCAGGCCATGGTCTTGCCACAACCTTCAGCAAACTTCATGACCCAACGCCCGATGACGCTCCTCCTTTGTGGGTTCTGGCTCTAGGGTTCGCTCTCTGGTTAGCACGTTGTTCTCGTTTGAGGTCTTCATCAGGTTCGCTCTGAAATTACTGCTGTTTGATAGCATTGTATTCTGGTAGCGGTTTCCTCATCTGAATATGGCTTGTGCCTTGTTGGATTGTCATTGTCATGGAGATGTACCCCTGTTTTCGTTAAAAAAAAATCTTTGATTTTCACTACTGCCCGTTGAAGAACTTAACGTTTGGTCCTCTCCTTTCAACCCTCTGATCAATCAGTATTCACTCACGAACGTAATTTTTGCCAACCGCGTGCAGACCCCAACGCCCTCTGCTGTGAACCCGAACCTATTTGTTGGAGCTTGTACCTCAGCGGTCCATGAGTTGCTCTAATTAGGGTTTCAAAATGAGGGGATTGAGAGTAGCAACAGGGTTGGCAGCTCGATTGCTACAGCATGGAAGAGTTGCGGAATTGAGGACGGGTTCAGTAGGGATTTTCAGGTCACTTGTCTGCAACAATCCGAGCGCAACATATGACAGCTCTTTAAATTCTAGGGTTTCGGATACGTGCGGCTTTTCTTCTAGAGTGTCTATTCAGGGCAGCTCTTGTGCTCCTCGGCACGAACCCGGTTTCGTTTCGAACGTCTCTTTGGGGGCTTCGGGAGAAATCGTTGAACCTAACAAATTTATACTTTCATATCTGGGCTCTTCTCAGTTGTTTCCACCGGGAAGGTCGAATGGGTTCTCGACTTCAGCAGCTGCGACGCCAGAAGCGGACGCGGAGAAGATTTCAGTTACATTTGTGAACAAAGACGGCGAGGAAACAGAGATCAAGGTTCCGGTAGGTATGTCGATGCTGGAAGCTGCACATGAGAATGACATTGAACTTGAAGGTGCTTGTGAGGGATCGTTGGCATGTTCCACTTGTCATGTGATCATCACAGACGAGGAGCTATACAACAAACTTCCAGAGCCTACAGACGAAGAGAATGATATGTTGGATCTTGCGTTTGGCTTGACGGAGACTTCCCGATTAGGATGCCAAGTGATTGCTAAGCCTGAGCTGGATGGTTTGCGGCTTGCTCTCCCTGCCGCTACCCGCAATTTTGCAGTTGATGGTCATGTTCCGAAGCCACACTAACTGGAACACTGCTGCAATGTCACAGCAGGATGGATTTCTGCTGTGCAAATCCTCCAAAGGAAGTTGCAGGCTTATCTTCTAATCTGCGTCTTAGGTTCGGATTTACTCCTCTGTGATTATCGATAGCCTTTCTCGATGTTTCTCCTTGGCGATGACTCCTTCCTTTTTCCCGTTCCTTTCTTGCACCTGGAGCAAGTTGCGTTCCTTGCAGGTCCTTGGGCGCGACAGAGCATGCAATTAGAATCCTCTTAAAATATTTGAGATTGATTCAGCTGGAAGCTGAAGCTGAATGTCATAAGATCCATTGTTCCACTGAATTGGGTATGTGTTGTCAGTGACTTATTAAGTCGCTTGATGGCATTGCAAATCTTCTTCACCCCTGAGACGTGTGATTCTGTACAAGGGTATGAGTTGTCTCGTCTCCTCTGAATGTCAATGAGCGTGAAACTTCTGGCTCGGTGCTCTTTTGTGTTTCTGCTTATATTCTTCTTAGTTCAAGGCTCTTCCCAGAATTGCTTAACGAGCCCTCTGCAATGGATCCAATAATGGTAGCTCTCATCTTCACTGCCGATCCCAGATACTCGTTATTTCGAACAGTTCTTTCAAAACTGTTCGCCCCCATACATCGCTTTATTGCCGAGAATGGGTTTTCTTACTGACTGAGTTGACACGACGACCACATGAGACAACTGCTATGCCCATGGAGCGTTGACTCATGTCGGTATTTTTGAAGGATGGACATCGAAGATCTATTCTCCATCAATCCAAACAATTTAATTTTATGGGCTTGAATGAGTGGAATGTGCTGCAAACATGGTACCGTAGATTTGATCATGAGAACGACTAATTGCGACAACACTGTTCAGTGAATCAAGAATGCTCTACAACAGTAGTCAGCGAGAGTATTTCAACTGCACCATGAAATGCATCAAACTTGCAATTCTGCCAGTTTTTGATAATCATGCGAGTAGTGAATCAACTCAGTTTTATTCTGTTGTTTTTCTATGTATGTGGGGGTAAGGGTCTCTAAGTTAAAAAAAATGTATCCTCATTCTCTAAATGAAAGCCCCTGGATGTGAATGATTCAACGGATGTAACCCCCACGAAACTGGCCCCTCTTTTTCATTTTCTATTCTAACAGAGCAGAATTAGCAAGCTTGCCGGTCAGGGGGCCCTCGAGGCCTGTCGACACATGATTGCCTCCGAATTGCGGTGTCAGGAAAATTTCTCTCCCTAAACCGAATGGAACCGAATTCGGCTACAACACCGATGAGTTTGGCATTGCGGCACAGCATACTCAACAATTGAGTGTGCAGGCTTGGAACTGCATTTGCGAAAACCTTGAATTGTGGCGGCCAAGTCTGCAATCGACTTGGGCGCCTCGAAAACTACCTCAAGGCTCTCATGTAGAGGAGATTGAGCTCTTGGATTGTAGCTCTGAGGGAAATCCCGTGATGCTTCGGTGATGGTGAGCATTTAGGTTTTTTGCTCGTGGGTTAGGGCAAGGGTAGGGTGGGATATGTGGCCCTGGTGGTGGTGGTGGTGGCGGCAGCGGTAAGGAGTTGGTGGCTATGGCGTGGGTAGTGGCCCGAGGAGGAAGTGGGTGCGGTTCGTTACTTGCGTCTGTTGGGATCCGGGTGGCCTTGATCCACGGGTCGCCTTGTTGCAATGAGAAATGGGACAGCAAGTGGAAATCCGTTAAGCGTCCTCTCCTTCCTTGACCAATTTGAGTCCTGATAGGATTCTAGATGGACATTGATCTGGTGTGGAGGCTTTTTTAAGAATGTGACTTAAGTTTTAATTTGTAGAAGGATTCTGTGTTGGGCTGACGATTCTGGTGTTGTCTAAACACTTCGATTTTCTCTTCAGAGTCAGAGACGATATTGTTTGTTTATTTTAATTTTTGGGTTTTTTGATGAGAGATGAGACGATCAGTACCATGGATAACGGCGTTTGACTGAAGGGGTTACAGATGGATGGCTGTTGTGCAGATGGCGTATGGGTACATGGATGTAGACGCCTCCCTCAAGGTACTGTGATTTCATCGTAGTTCCTAGGTCTTTGCTGCACTTGCAATAATCTGTGACGGCCCCGAATGTAGTTGATTGAATTATGTGATTACACCCCGAACCTGTTAAGCGAGTTCCACTTAAATATTTCCTTGTTGAACACTTTGCAGCGGCACCGGACGTACGTGAAGCGACAGAGGCGTGCAGCTGGTAAACGTGATTTGCTCCAATGGCGGTCTGTAGAGATGCACGCAGATGAGTACAGGGAGGTGAGTTTAGTGGCCTTCTTTTGAGCCCTAGCAACTTGTATGCACAATCATTCCTGTAATAGACGGGCAGGTTCTGTAGTTCATAACTCTCGTGCATAAAATTGGGGCTTCCAAATTGATTCTTACGAGGATTATTTACACGCTGGTCTTAGGCTCAAGAACGGAGGAAGCAAAAGGCCGAATCCACCCAGAAACCTCACACAACTTCTTCAGGGTATTCTCGCCGATTTGAGAATGAATGGCGAGCATTTGAGAAGAAGTACCAGGGCAAGGATTCTCCACCCTAATCCCTGTTTTGTCATACTGCACTTTTCTTATTTGTAATAGCTCTGACATTTTCTGTTGGGATAATCATTGCAGCAAGATATGAATATCGATGTAAGCAAGAATCTTACGCACGAAGAGAGAGAGCAGCTGATGATGATCCCACGGTTGGGGCAACGGGGCAAACGGACAACCGAGGGGACGGTGAATCCGAGAGTGCTAGATACAGACGACAGTTTTGGAGCAATACCTGGCGAGGCTTTGGAGGCGGGGCAGATTGGAATTTTGGTGCAAACCCCAGCTGGGAAACACCTTACCAAGGAAGGGATTCCAATAAAACGGTTGGATCGCCTGCAGATAGATTAGTGCTTGGCTTGTCGCCAGTAGGTCCATTGTCACTAGAAGAACTGAAAATTGCGTAAGTTTTACATGCCTTTTTGGTTTGCTTGAACCGAACTGTTAGAATTCTACCATGTGGGGTACGATGCTTCTACGTGTTTCGGTACACCTGCTTGACTTTGAAGCATCTTTGTGGGGTTTGGCACAGGTTTCGTCAGTGTGCTCTCTCATGGCATCCAGATCGACACGATGGTCATCTGAAGGTATTGTCAAATCAATTCTTGATAAGCACTTTCATTGAGATTCATTTCCTTTCTCAGGATCGTTGTGTACATCTCGACGATACTAATGTATAGGTTACACTTTTGTAGCATGAGGCTGAGGCGAAATTTAAGCGTGTGGGCGATGCTTACCGTACTTTGCGAGGACTTCTTTAGGCAACCCAGAAAGTCGAATCAAAGTTAGCAATTGCAAGCGAAGTGGTTTTCTCATTGGAGCACCACGAATGAAGTGTCACATTCTTTGGAAACTGACTGGAGCAAGAGGTCCAGCTAATTTCTGTCGATTTACGTCACCTTTTAATGCTTCTGGAGCATTATGCATTTTTGTATGCATTTCACTCTAGCGTTTTGGTGGATATCCCTAATCCAAGAACAAAATTGAGCATGATGAAGACACGAACTATAGAAGCCAGTTCGTACTTGGTCAATCGGTTGGAGTAGGGTCTGCATTTGTAGTTTTGAATTCTTTTCAGAAGACAATTTTGATAATCCCGTTCAAGCCCTTTACAGCAGGGGATAGGGCAGTACAAGGTTCCAGCTCTACGATTGATATGGAATGATTTTCATGATTTTTATCAATGGAGCTGGATTACCATACTCTTGAAACTAAACTCTGCAAATCTGGTCTGCATACTTACTGGTGCTTCTTTGTACATGCTGTCACCAATTCTATTTTGACATTGGACTTTGAACATGAAACTAGTCAGTTGTTCTTGCACTGGGAGCAGTAAATCGAATTAAGTTTATCGAGAAAACTTAAAAATGTAGCGTTCAGTGTCTGGAATATGTTGGCACATGAAACGAGTATGTGAACAAATAGATCACAGGCAATTGTTCCTTCTTATCGTTCTAATCCATGGACTCCCTGCTTTCATAGCCACTCTCTCCCTGTTTCACCATTATCAGTTCTCCTGAGAAATTAGGGACTACAATTCCTGTACATATCTTGTAAAGAATCTTGCAACGTTTTATTACACAAGATTGTACTCCAACAAAGAAAGAAGACAAATGGAAGAGTTAGTTTTTTGTCTTCACAAGAATGGGTCTATGACTACAGGAGGTGCCCAGGCAGCACCTACTTAGTAACTTGGGTTTACTAAGTTCTCCAAGCCATTGACTACACGAATGCTTTCAATCACGTCACCAACCTTAAAATCGGCTAGCAACTCTTCGTTCTCAGTCACATAACCAAACACTGTGTAACGACCATCAAGGATGTTAGCGCTGCTGGGTGTTAACTCGCTCTCCTTCAGGAGCCAAAACACTTGACTGGATCCAGAGTCGTTATCGAATTCCTGCAATAAACAAGGCAATTCATCGGAATCTGCAATCGCGAAAACTTGCACATGTTCCCAACTCCACTAATGTTACTTTCCCATTTCAGAGGTTCAGGAGTTGATAATGAGGACAAGATGGTTTGCTATGATCCAAGACGAAGGGAATTCTAACCTCCCGGGCCATTGCCATGGTACCGAACGCGTTGAAGGGCAGTGTTGTTGTTGCCTTGTACTTGCCAAGCTCCTGCAATAAGACGAATCAAAGAACAAAAGTGAACCAATTAAAATCCTTATTTATCACTCCATTCCAGGAGAAAAATCCTTCTAACTTGAGGAAGATACGTAATTACAAGGATTCATACCTCAAGCGTGGCACCGTAGATGGGCTCTTTCTCGCCGTCCACCATGATCTCCAATGGAACAGTTCGCACTTTGCCAGTAGCTGGATCCACAAAACCATCAGCGGGTCCCTCGGGGTCTCCAGTTTGTACCACAAATCCATCCGCTGAAACAGACCAAGACAGTTGATAAATATTACAAGGGCCACACAAACCTGAAATCACAGTTAAGCTGCTCATGGATCTGTACAGGGACCAAACACCTTGACGGTGCAAAACGACCCAAGGGTCAGGTTAGAACATCCGAGTTGCAATACTTAAGGATAATAATAAGGACAGAATCAATACGAAGAAAGAAAAAATAAACAAAAGACCTTTCCAATACCCCCCCCCCCCCTTGCTCCCTGTAAAATATAAAAAGATGGGCTGAAGGGAATTATTGATCTTCGGAATGATGTGCATCACTCACCTCGTTGAATTTCCATGCCATCGTAAAATTTGCGCTGGACAAGATCAACGAAGTTGCCAGCAGTGACTGGGGCATTGTAACCATCCACTACGATCTGGAGAACCGCATCTTTCACATTCGGGTTGTCTTTAACGTTAACTTTCATTTCCAGAGTAGCTCGTCCCTTAAGAAGAGGTCTGTTGGCAAACTCCTCCGGTATCTCAAATGGAAATTTTGATACCATGGCCTCCTCAATGCTGTGCACGAGGCATCACAGACAACCATAAGGACGCTTAGCGAATATAGCACGACAGCGAGGGAGAATCTTGGATAATGGTCTTCTGAGTTCCAACTACATAAATTTGAAAACGAGAATAACTGTCCTTGACTAATAAATACTGAAGGGAAGGTACTCGAACTTTCTGGTTGACTGTTACACAAAGTTTTTAGCAGAAAGGATCAAAGAAACCAATGAGACATTTTAATTAAACGTTGGTGGCTGGTTTACACGTGCAAGTCTGAAAAGCCAATGTTGCAAGGATTATGAGATGTTAGGATCAGCACTTACTTGCCCACCAGACGGAGAAGCTCCTTCTGCTTGGGGAAAACAGTACTTCGATCCTTAGTCTCCAACTGCTTTTGATAGTCTTGAAGTCCGTCTTCAAGACTGCTCAGAAGCTGCTCAGCCTCCTGTTTTTTTGCGGGGGCTATGTCTGCTAAGATTTGCGCCTTGTTCTGATTAAATACACGTGCAGCCTGCCGTACGCTCTGCACCATTACTCACGACTGTACTTTCGTCAGTGTGCAACCTTATTCATATCAATACGGTAAAGGACGTGAGACCCAATGCCTTGCCTGTGATGTGTAACCAATGTTATAGAGAACTCCCTATTCATGCTGAGAAGCATCTAATCTGGAACCAAAAGAAAGCATAGAAGACAAATTTTTGGTTGGAAAAGAAGCAATAATTTGATGCAATAGGAATTCAAAGCAACCATACCCGTTCTACTGGCCCAAGCGCTTTCTCGCCTGGAACCTTCATCTCTTCGGTAATCTCTTCAAGGGATTTCTGCACCTCTTTGATAGGTTTATTCTGAATGGGAAGAGCATACCGAAGCAGTGCATTGGCGTCCTTGATGGGAGGACCCGAAATCAAGACACTCAGTTCAGAGATAGCTGGACCCCTTTGGAAGGCAACATCAGAAGCTGTTGCAGACAAGGGCGTGAGCAATGCAGCTGTAACAGCCACGCACGTAGCGCATGTCTGGAGAATTTTCGTGAGAACGTTGGGTGAGACTTCGTGATCCTGGAAAAGTATACTCATCGTGTCAGTTATTTGAATACACGGTATCGTCCATCTACACCTGGATCCATCAGCCATCACATCTAGAAACAATCCAATGTTTTACCAAGTACGACTGATAGCACAGCGTCCATGGTGTTACTTGCTGAAAAGCACTACCATAGGATCACGAAAACCTTAACATAGTCCCATCAACAAATTTAAAAAGCATTAATTATTCCCGGGGTGTGATCAATTGTACAAGATCAGGGATTGTTCCATTGAGTAAAGTCTAAGTAGGAAGAGAAAATCTACACAACGATGTACTGAGTGAACATTGAGAATAGCCCCGATGTGCACGCAAATTCCTATTAACTCGAAGGAGGTGACCAGGAATGAAGCTGTCCAACTCGACATCGGTAGTCACAAAATGTCGCTAAGTTCAGCTACCATTCAGAGTCTCGAGTTTGACTCACACCTCCTACACCCTAAGTTTTTAAATCCACTAAATAATTTCACTACCAATGAGGTCACATGGATGTTCCCCCTGAAGAGCTTAGAATTCTGAACTTCTGTTGTACAGAAATTCAGAATTGTATTGCAAATGGCATCCACATAATGAAGGTCACAGAATTGATCTAGAAGGCCACACCCTACGAACATGTGAGCACATTGCGATCCTCTGCGAAAGCTGAACCCCACGTTGGTGCGCCATAGAGATTGAAGTTCGAAGTTAATCCTATTGGCATTTCATTAGGAGAAGAATTATTTAAACCCACCTTGGAATTCATATCCGAGGAGGCGCGAATGGACAACGATCGTCGCGTACCAACTACGCCGATGCTTCGGTGCCTGCATTGCGCTCCAAACAATCCTTCCTTGTGGAACCCAGCTGATCCGAGCCGGCTGGTCGAGGCCGTGGCCAGCGACCCCTGGGCTGCTTGCAGCACTGTAGAAACCACCATCTCGACCCACCACTCAAGACAAATCCTAAAAATATTCCCTCCACACAGCGACTACTCACTTACACTAACAAAATCAATTCTCCCACAGAATCCTTTCAGACGCTTCCGGATTTCGCTCATTCCAGAGACTGCATCGGAACATGGGATTTAGACGACCCCAAGTGTGCGCCACGAATACTCTGCGCAGGGGGAATCGATGTGACAGCGGGTTGGATGCAAACTAGTGAGAGATGCGTCGACAAATTTGGCACAGATAGGGTCGCATTCCTGCGATCTCTCAACATTGTCACGAGACAGTGTGCGAAGAGAGGCAGGAACTGATGAACCAGTGGGGGTAGATTGACACCGGCTTGGGAGGTCGCCCGGTCACCCAGTCCCATTCTCAACCTAAACAGATAATGAGTTGTAAGTTGGACCAATGGTTCGATGCCGCATGGCAGATTTTTGCCACATCATCTCCGGAAGCATCAGGGTGGTACCAGAAAGTCCCTTTCCAGAACAATCCTTCTCTTCGAACAAAGTTCCCCAACAAAGGAGCCATTATGTGATTTATATATATATATATATATATACTTCAAGAGCCTATTCCATAGCTTACAAGCAGAGGTTTTCTTCCTACAGCATTACACGTTACAAAAAAACTCAATGTGATAACTCGATAATGCAGTATCTGTTGTGGATTATCGGCATGTCAAATGAGCATACCCTTACTAGCTAGGTCAGTCGACCTTCTTCGTCTGGAAATCGTTTGCTTGGTTGCGAATTGGACGTTAACCAGGAAGCATTCTACCTCGGATACTGCACCACGAATGCAAATACTGCAACGAGGTGGGCACACAACAAAAACAGAAAAAAAGAAAGCCCAGTGAAGATATCACAGTTTCTGATTGAGGCTGCTGCAGAGGAGTCTCGATGCATGTTCGGATTAGGGCAACGATGTGTTGTTGTGCACTTTCCCCGATCATGTAAGAGGAGTAAGAATTGCAAATGATGGTTGCTGTGTCTTTTTGATACAAAAACCTTTGAGTTGCAGGTTTGCTTGCAGGCAGAGGCCACTGAGAGCGGATCTCTTAGCTTATCCATTAGGATTTTCTATGGCATTTATGAGGGGTTCAAGTGGAGGCACTGCCTTGTTTTCTTGCTGCAAAGTGCAACTGGGTACATCATGTTGCTTTTTGTTATCTTTTTTTTGTTCCGCATATTTGGGTTCATTTGTGACTAGTTTATGAATGTGGGTACCTGAGAAATTGGTCGGAGACTTCTATTACAGCAGCAACAGCATCAAGGCAGGTTAATGAGAATTATACGGTGCTTAGTTTTTGTAGTGCAGTGTGTGGAGTCATGAATGTGGTGTAAATGTAAATGAAAGCGAAACATTTAATGACGTGCATAATTAAGCATTTCAATAAGTCATCCTGTACATTAATACTGGTTTTAATTTTGTTTTACAGCTCCAAGTGTTGTAGTCATATTTAGATAATGATTGCCATGTAATTGTGTGCATCAAATTTCTTTTGATTGTTACCTAAGTAATAATTCTATGCATTGTTAATGCCATTATATATTTGTTGTACCATGTTGATAATGAATAGCAAAAATCATCATAGTAAAATTATTTGTGACTTTTTCTTTCTTTCTTTCTTTCTTTCTTTTTTTTTTTTTTTTACTTGTTGAAATAATTCTTGTTAACAATAATTTTGTAGTATTGTGTTATAAATTGTAACTTTGTGTGTATATATACAGGGAATTGCTACAGCAACACCCTCATATTGTTAAAGCCACATCCCCAAAGGTGTTGTGGTTGCATGCATTGCAACTCCTTTTGATATTATACTTCACAATTCCTTTTGGAAAACTTTAGAGAAGGTTGGACAATGTAGTGATTTGCATTTGGATGGAGGAAGCATCAAAAGTGAAAATTTAATGTGTATGCACAAGTGGAGAGCCACAAAGGAGAGGAGGACTAGACACAAATAAAGAGTAGGAAGAGAGAGCTAGAGTAGACATAAGAGGAGAGTTGGTGGAGAAGAGAGCCACAGTAGAGGAGAGCTGCAAGAGAGAGCACTCAAAGAGTGTGAGTTGAGGGGAGTGCAGAAGTGTACTCATGTGGAGTGTGGCTTTAACAATATGGGGGTGCTGCTTTAGCCATTCCTTTTATATATTCACCTTCATATAATATTAATTTGTGTTCTTTCATATTCTAAAATAAAACATGATACATAATTGTAACTTGCCTTTTTTTTCTTCTTTTGTTTTGTTGAGACATGATCTCTATGCTATCTTTTTGTAACATGCATTCTGGAATCAAAATTATAGAATTTGGTTAGATGTATGTGTGTAAATCTTTCTCAGCAAATAATTTTTGAAATTCTTTTGCAATTAATTCCAATGCATATGATAAGGGAGGATTTCCACTTATATTTTAAAAGCTTTTGTCCCATACTATGGTGTACCAAAATTATAAGTAATATCACTCCAACAGTGCACACAATCCAATAAAGTACAACTGATGATACTCATGTAAGTACTCTTTCAATTGTATATTCTACAATGGATGTGCAAATCGCCTTCAAAACAAGGCATGCTCTTCAACTAGTTGATGCTAGGATTTGTCTTGATATTGTATTCTAGATGGTGGAATTTATTGTGAAATACATGATTCTCATACTCAAGGCTTGCTTCTGTGAGTTGTTAGAAATTCCATCCAAATATGTGTGGTAAGACAATGCAACAAAAACAACATGACAGTGGTTCTATGGATTTATTCATTTATTAGCATGTAAGTATTTTAAAACGTTTAGGATAATTATGCTCTCTTCTTTTTTTGGTTCCGTTTGTTTAGTTCTTAAACTATTTAAGTATTTATTTAATGTTTACTCAATTCAAATGCTTTACTATGGTTTTTAGCAAATGGTTATCGATACATTTATTATTAATAGTATACTTATGTACAGCACATCTCTCTAATTCGGGAAATTCTCCATCTACATCTATATATACATATATATATACAATAAAACTACACGTATTGTACTTTCTTTCTGTATACATACAAGTAACCTTGTATTAAAACTACATCACGTATAATTAAATATATTATCTAACAAAGTTTAGCATTAGTATTTTAAAAGCAAGAATTAACATATTTAAAATATGATGTGCAAAATACTAATTTCGGTTGATTGTTTTTATGATTAATTTTATAAAATCAACATAATTCAAATGTAGTCAACTAATAATTTTAAAATACAATAGGAAATAAGATGCAATCTGATTATATTTTAAAGTAACGGTATCTAATGCAATATTTAAAATAACATATTGAATTTAATAAAATAAATACCTTAATACAACCATAAATGCATTGTTTAATACCATCAAACAAAAGAAGTTGATACTATATCTTGAAACTGCGTTTACACAAATTATTTTTATACATAATGCTTTCTATTTATGTTTTATCTTAACATTTTAAGTTCTTTATATAATTGATGTTATATTAGAAAACTACACGTATAAGTGATTTTCAAAAAATATAATAACACATGATTTCTATTGTGTTGTTGGTATTATTAATAACAATTCTAATTATTAAAAAAAGAAATTATGTATGCTAAATTATATATATATCTATATATATATATATATATATTTCATTTTCTTTACATATATATGGATTTTCCATGTATAAATATGGATAGATTTATAGGATCTTTTTCAAAATATTAAAACAAATATTTATGAAGCACAAGTTGAGCCATGTTATTTTTATACTCATATGTAATTTGTCCTTTATTTATATAAAATAAGAATGCATTCAACATGCCTCAATTCAATTATAGTATAATATTTCAAAAAATATGAGATATGTACTGCTATGAGATATGTACTGCTATAGAATAGAAGTATAATAAAGTGAAATATATATGAGCTCACTGTCCAACCATCGAGGATTCAAGAGAACTAACTACTTGAAATAAACCTTGGGTTTTAGTTCTCAAAATACAAATATGTGGTCTATTGATATAGACTTTATAGTGTGAACACACTAATAGATAGCTTAGCCGCCAATGTCCAATTGACATGTGGACACTTGTCTTGTTAGACCATATGACAACTTGGTAGGTTGTAATAAGTATATGTTGACAACAAGCTATTTGGTGGCTTTAAGTTGTCAACCACTAACGCAGTTTCAAATATTCATGTATGTAAGCACATAGTGTCTTATAAAATTACTCATGTATGTAAACATTTTTAATAACTATCCTCTAATTTCCATTTGAATTTCTGAAAAACTAACCAGATAAGGAAAACTAAATTAGCAAATCACATTAGCATATTTTGTGCATCACTCTTCCTGAAAAAGGTATAGAAAGTATGGTTATGGTTTGAAAAGAATTATCAAAGCTTAGTGCACACCAAACTTAGCATGATTTCTTTTGCTAGAAGGTATAAGTTTGGAACAAATATCTAAATAATATGCACATACATAGTTCTGCTGGAATACACATGAATAATTCTGATGATATACACATGGATTATGTTAACACAAGATATAAATATAAACTGTGTCATCTTATTATCTTCATTACCAAATTGAAAACAATTAGAAGCACACATAACAAAAAGTATCTTACCTTGTTTTATTACATTTTTTCTTTCTTTTTTATATTTATTTTGAACAAGGATGTTTTATTTTAAACAAGATCAACTTCTACTATTTAAAAAAAATAATTATTACAAGTCATTGAGACCAGTTAAAGGCTCTGTGAATCAAACATGTAAATGCTAAAATTTAAGATAATGTGGTATGTTTGGGGTTGATGGTAAAACAACATATACACAGAATTAAATAGGGAATATATATATATATATATATATATATATATATATAATTGACATTCATAAAAGACCTCAAAATTGTGCAAAGCCATAATTCATATGTACATGTTCATCTAATAAGTACTGCAAGCCACTTTAGTAATTGTTATTCTAAATGACTAACTTCTCTTGAAAAACCATGTCAATGATCTAACAACTCATTTTTGTAATAATAATTATGCTACACCAATAACATTAATTTTATGTCTAATGTTAAACAGAGTATTTAAATTCTGAAATATATATATATATATATATATATATACTAGAAAAATATTGATAACAAATAGATAGAAATTACACTTATGAATAAATGTATGAATCTTATAAATTTGTGATTATTTTTTAGTAGTTTTTTAATTTCTTTTTTTGCACAATGTTTTTAAAATTTTCTAGTTAATATTGGTTACTTTTAAATTTAAATAGATATA